GCAGGAAGGTGAAACACCCCCAGGGAGAGTAAAGGGCTCCAGGGGCTCTGTGCAAGGACCACTCCGAGTCCTGACAGGGAAAATCAGTGGGTGGTATTTCCCACTCTACCAACAGATCCCTGCTGCTAAGGCAAGGAAAGGATGCTCAGCACCCCCCAGACTGGAGAAGCAGCACCAGGAACACTGATCAGCATCCTCACCAGAGCCCACCGAGACTGGACCCCAGGACACAGTGCTGCTGAGCTCTCTATGTCCCTCAGCCCATTTATTCTGGCTTTTGTTCAGAAAAAAAACCTCAAATGTGACCTAATAGTGGAAAAGCCCATTTGTGCTGGAAGGAGATTACTCAGCATGAATGTCTCCAGAAGGCATAGCCCCTTGTGACTTATCTGCACAGAGCCAGGGATGAGAAGTGCTTTAAAGGACTAAGTACAAAATACCCGTTGGCAGGTTATAGAGGAAAAAGGTCTCACTGAAGGAAACTGAGGTAGATGAAAAGAGAGAAAAAAAAGAGAGAAACAGGGGGTCATTTTCCTGGACTTTCTGTCTTGAAACAGAAGGGGAGAGAACCTTGCAAAATGGAAATGGAAAATAATACCATCTTGATTTCATACCATATATGAAAAACTAGTAAGATGTTAAAAAAAACAAAACAAAACAAAACAACAACAACAACAACAACAACAACAACAAAAAAACAACCAAAAAAAAAAAAACAAAAAAAACCCAACCCACAAAAAAAATCCCTCCCCCCAAACTCCAACTTAATTATACTCATGGACATTTGGTCAGCTCTCTGTAAACACCCTGAGTAAAGCCTGGCAGTGAAAGCTAATATTAACACTTCTTTGTTAGCCACAAGCAGAACATATCCCACCTCTACAGCTGGAAGGTCCCACCTCCCACGCCTGCCAGGCACCCCCAGGAGTTCAGCTACAGGAGCAAGATGCTTTTCTGCTCTGTCTAGTATAGAAATCTTGTGCATTTACAACTCCTGAGTGTATACTGATTAAAAGATAAACATACCTTAAATGCCATGAACTTGTGATATGGTTTAGGAGCCCAAGCATAGATCTCAACAGCATTCTTTAAGGCAATCACCAAGAACTTGATTCTTTCATATTTCACTAAAATGAAAATAACACCAAGTTTAAAAACATTCTCTTTCTTTCCAACAAGACTGAACAGCTCATCTCCAGCAACAGCTCCTCAGGCTGTCTCTTTGTTAGTTCTCATTTGGTAAAGTGTCCACCTAAGACATACAGATGAATTCCAAATTTATTTGTGGCTATGATCTATCCATAAAATTGTCAGGTCAGATGTAAGACTAGAGAAGAAAAGTGCATTTCTTCAGACATTTTTTTCCAGAGAGGCCACTCACCAACTTTGTAGTGGATGCATCCCTCCAGGTCCCCGACTGTGATCCAGCCCTGCTTTTTCTCCACTTCAGGGTCGTTGTGTAAAATCCTGTTTCTCAGCCAGGAGAGATAGTACACACGCAGCTTGTTCTTCTTTCCTGTCGGGAAAGGGAACGGCCCTGTCAGAGCACAGCAAGCCTGCATGGGGAATCTTGAGATTTCAGGGCTTGTTTTCCCTCACAAGGTGATAAAATTCAAGTTTGTTTCACAATGAAGTTGAAAACAGTGACTTAGTTGTGTTGCTATTTTGTTTCTTTTTTCCCTTGGAAAGCAGAGCCTGGACCTCTGTCTCCCAGACTGCAGGTGGATACTGGAGGAGTATCCACCATGCTTCCCATAGGCTGGAAATGCTCCTTTTCCCATAAATCAGTGTTCTTGGGGTCAGGCACAGCAGGGCCGTGACCAAGCTTTCTTACAGCTCAGGGCTTACCCGACCACTCGGCTACCTGGTTTCTCTCCTCCCTTCTCCTTCATACAACCTGAACTGCACCCTGGGGCTGAGGCAGGAGCCCCGTGGGCTGTGACAGGCACTGCTGTTTGCCAACGAGCCCAGTGCTGGGCTCTGCAACACTGAGGGGCTGCCCAACTTCTGCACTGCACACCCACCTCAGACCTGGCTACAAACCCCCTGCTACGGGGACAGGACACAGGTGGGACAGGACCCAAACCAGAAATGAGGGGCTCCGTCTGCTCACGGGCTTCCACAGGTCCCCAGGGCTCACTCTCAGGGCAACCTCCCCATCACCTTCCAGCTGTACTACAGCCCTCAGCCCTACAGCTCTAACCACAGGGGAGCCGCAGACCAAGGTACAAGATGAAACAGCAGTTGTGGAGAGCTCTGTCTTACTGGTGGGTAAGGAGTCGGCTGGATGGTCACCCTCAGAACTGCAGTCGATGTCTCCATGTCCGAGTGGAGACCAGTGATGAGTGGTGTTCCCCAGGGGTCTGTAACGGCACTGGTGCTAGGTAACATCTTTGTGGTGGCATGGACGGGGGCACCCTCAGCATGTTTGCTGCTGACACCAAGCTGTGTGGTGCAGTCAACACACTGGAAGGAAGGGATATCATCCAGAGGGACCTCTACAGACTCGAGAAGTGAGCCCGTGTGAAGCTCATCAAGTTCAACAAAGCCAAGTGCAAGATCCAGAGCATGGGCTGAGGCAATGCCAAGCACAAATACAGCCTGGGTGATGAGTGGATTGAGAGCAGCCCTGTTGAAAAGGACTTGAGGGTGTTGGTTGATGAGAAGCTCAACGTGAGCCAGCAATGTGTGCTTACAACCCAGGAATCCAATTGTATCCTGGGCTGCACCAAAAGAAGCAGGAGCAGCAGGTTGAGGGAGATATTTCTCCCCCAATACTCTGCTCTTTGAAGACCCCACCTGGAGTACTGCATCCAGTTCTAGGGTCCCCAGTGCAAGAAAGACATGAATCAGCTGGAGTGGGTCCAGAGGAGGCCACAAAGATGATCAGGGGGCTGGAACCTGTCTGCTGTGGGGCCTGGAGAAGAGAAGGCTCTAGGGAGTCATTACAGCAGCCTTTCAGTACCTAAGGGGGAGCTCACAGAACAGACAGGAGGGACTTTTTACAGGGAGTTGTAATGGCTTTAACCTGGAAGAGGGGAGATTTGGATTAGATGTAAGGAAGACATTCATCACTGGGAGGATGGTGAAACACTGGAACAGGTTACCCAGGGAAGGTATGGATGCCCCATCCCTCAAAGTTTTCAAGGCCAGGTTGGATGGGGCTTTAAATAACCTGGTCTAGTGGGAGGTGTCCCTGCCTAGGGAAGGGGGTTGGAACTAGATTATCTTTAAGGTCTCTTCCAACCAAAACCATTCTGTGATTCTACCTGTATGGAGGGAGCAGGAATCTGTAGGTGAATGTAGAGTGAGCCCATGCAGGTGTTAAACAACAAGAAAGCAAACAAGAGGATGATATCAAGCTGTTTTCCTAGCAAGCATTTCTCTTGCTGACCTCCAGGAGTTTTGTGGGGCAGGTATAGGCAGGAGAAGGCTCTGTCCTGGCTCCACCACCTCTGTGCTTCGCAGGGCTGCTCTGAAGGGCAGATGCTGGATACTCTCCTTTGAGACTGGGATACAGTTTCTGCCTTTTTTTTTTTTTTTTTTCCACCTCATAAGCCTGATTTGAGAGCTCCAGAGCTCCCGGTTGAACCTGGGGACAGTAACAAGCCTGTGGCCCACACGATGCTCAGAGCACCGCCAAGCACAGCCACGGTCTGAGCTGGAGCCCTGAAGCCAAGGTTCATGGTTAGAGACAGACCCAAAAGCAGAGCTTGCCGCCCCCTCAAGCTGTGACTACCTGCCTTGGTGGGGTGTCTGCCCACATCCCACCTGCAGCCTGCACCTTCCCTTCCACATTAAAGGAGGATGGGACATTGCAGGTGAAGTGAATCTAGCAGGTAATGGGAGCAAACTGGCCTTGGAGGCATTCTCCCAGATCTAATGACTTTGATTCCAGAATAAACCACCTCCAGCTTCCCTGGGAGCTTCCCTCAGACACCAGTGGGGAGGTTTTGTCCGAGCTGGAACCGTTTGGGGCACCTGGCCGAGAAGGTGAGTGTTGGGGTGAGAGCATGAGGGGTACCTGATATTGTCACGAGGACATTAAGGCCCTCGAGCACGTCCATCTGTTGAAATCGCCGTCTGTTGATGAGGTTGTAGACCTTCCCTTGCCCACTCCGATCCAGCAGCATCAGGCCATTTTCTGTGCCCACCAGCAGATTCACACCTGAAGAGCAGAGGTCAATGGGCACCAGGAGCCATGGCTGCTCCCACGGACAACACCCCAAGCTTGGCTCTGAGCCACCACGAGAGTGACCAATCGCAGCTACGGCTGTGACCTTCCCAGGAACATGAAGAGTCATTCTTCATGGTGGGACACCCAGTGCAGGGACTCGGGGACATTGGCCTCGCCCGGGATGGAGAAGGGGACAACCAGGGGCAGGGGCTCAGCTCTGTGATGACACATTTGTGTTTCAAGCTCTGTGGGGTACAGGGCGTGCTCGGGGCTTACCCCACAAAGCAGCACAGAGTATCTCTGAGTTGAAACGCTTCTTGTACTTCCGGATCTCCGGGGTGTCGCTGTGGGGACGGATGTTGGTGGGATTGACGTTCACCACAGAGATCTTCCGGGCTTCGTTCAGCTTGGCCTGCTCCTGTCTGAGCAGCTCGCTGGTGAACAGGGCTTGCATGAAACACAACAAGAGAGGTGGGACGGATTAACTCTTCTGTCACCTCCTTTTTGGGCCAATGCTTGGTTGATGTACTGACGGGGAGGCATCACTATGCCTTTGCATATACAAATGACCAGTTTGGAGAGGGATCATCAGAATTTTCGTGTGGGTTGGAATCGTCACCAAACCCATCAGTAGGTGACAGCCCCAGACCTCTGACCCTGCATGCTGAGCTGCCCAGAGCAATTTGCTGCCCACCCGACCCCGTCCAGCCATTTTAAATGACTCCAGAGCAACTGCCAGCTCTCTGGAGCTATCACCACCTCCCAGTCCTGCCAGGACCATTTCTCCTGGCTGCCCAAGCAGACGGGTGGGTGGATTTCTGCTGCTCTCTGCTTTCTCCCAGACCCTTCTGGTGGAATTTCACTGGTAGAGGAGGAGAAGTTGGATGGAAACTGGAGAGCACAAGGCTGCAGCCATCAGCAATGTTTGGACAAGAGTAAATGAAATATGGAAGAGGATCAGTGGAATTATTCAGACTCCACAAACTGTTTTCCATGAGGCTCTCCCCTCTCAAACAGGCCACATTGCCTCCTACCAGTAGCAGATGACTCTTCGTCCTCATCTTCATCTTCATCAGTAGGTGAGGTCTGATACACTCTGGTGTCCACAAAGGGAGTGAAAGAGGCTTTGGTGCTACTTCCCATACCATACTGGAATAGAAACGGCAAAGAGAGATCTCAGAGCAGAGAAGTAACAATAATTTTGTAAGACTTCCTAATCAGCGGACAGAGCACCTGCACCTGCGGAGCCCTCTGTGGGTATCTGCTCCTCCTCCCCCATAAACAATCAGGAAAAACCATTAAAAAGGATTTCTGGGTGCCCAGGAGCAACAGAAAACGAGAGAGCAGGGCCCAGCTCTGCTCTCCTCCCGCGGGCAGCAGCACAGCCCAGCCCAGAGACCCACTAGCGGAGAAGCTGCAGGGCCAGAGCCAGGATCAGTGCAGGGAAAACCCAACTTCTCTGCAAGTGACACACCTGCCTTAAAAAGCCCCTTCTGGGATGTCAGCAGGTGAGGGTTAGCTTCTCCCACACTCCCAACGGGCAGCCCAGGCTGGCAGGATAGTGCTGGGAGCCCCTGGAACGCCCTGGCGTGGGGCAGCCGACATGGACCAGTGACCACCAGAACAATTCAGTGATCTGGAATGGGTGTGACTGGTGATTTCCCTGTGCCCAAGCCAGACTAGCACCATCCGAGCAAAGGTTTTCTTTCAGCAGGTCACAAAAATCTATTTG